CCCCCATTCAATTTACACTTGCCTTTACCTCCTCTGATTCGTCTCCCTTGCCCCAGGCGCTCCTTCATTCACCCCAAGTGCTGGACTTGATATCTGCTATTGCCCCATATTCCACCCCCTGCTGCCTCTGCAGGTCTTCACCGCGGCAGCGGTGCCTGCCGGTTCTGGACCGCACGACTCCAGGGCCACTCACTTCGTGCGTGCAAACCCGTCGCACCATGGTGACCCATGGTTCTCTCACGTGGCAATCAGGGGTGGGGAGGGAGAGGTTTGGTATGGCGAGGTGCTTCTGCTGTTCAAGCACTCGCAGTGTGAGAAGAGGTGGGCCTATGTGCAGTATTACGAAGAGCGTATGGATGATGCGGTGACCGGATGCAAGGCTCTCGAGTGGGCAAAGTTCCCCGGCACCAGGAGGTTGTACCGGGATATCATAGATGTGGACACTATTTATCGTGCTGTCCACATTGTTGAGTCCTTCGAAAGGAGAGGGACCTTTCTGCTGAATGACTACCTGTTTGAGTAGCATGCTGATGTGCGGCTACATTGCCTTCAACAATTGGTAGGGAGAAGTTATTCATTATTATGTTGGAATGAATATGGTTAATTTTCAATTTGTTGGACTAATGGTCAATTAAGTACAAGAGGACTGTAATTTGTACGTAGAATGTTTGAATAACGTTACAAGAGAAGTTTATTGAGAAACAATGACCATTGGATTCATTGAATTACAATAACATAAGATAAAACCAACAGACAATATAGATGTACTACAGAAAAGCATATCCATATGCCATTGTATACGGTTCGCTAGATCGAAGGATACTGTTTGCGGGAGCAAACCAAGATACTGTTCGCACAACGGAAAAATCGCTACCGAAACTGGGTTCGGAATTTTTGCGATGCCCTAAGCCCGAGCCGCTGTGGAGGCTGCGATTTTGAGGATTATCAGTCGGAGAGAAAACCGGACAGCTGCGGTTGCAGATTCCAGTGGCGAAGTTCCGCGTTGGGAAAATTAATGACCCCTTGAGCCTGCCAATAAGGGGCGAAAATGGAATTGGCGCTCAGGCTATCATAGGAGCGTGGGCGCTAACATGAGGTCGTGTAGCCGATGCCCGATGATAGAACGGTCGGGAAAGCGGATGCGAACGTGGCACATCCACTCCCAATCTCGCCGCCACGTCAGCAAACGAGCTGACGTCGGATTTCCACAGCAACGCGCCGCCGCATCCAGCCGCCTTCGCTCCGCCAATGTCGTTCTTCCTGCTGTCGCCCACGTGGACGACTTCGTCGGGCCGCACGTTTAGCATGTCACATGCGGCGTGGAAAATTTCCGGACTCGGTTTTTCTGCCCGCACTTCTGCCGAAACGGCGACCGCGTCGAAACAATTCAAGCAGCCCAGCGACTCGAGAACGGACCGCAACCGCGAGTCGAAGTTGGAAACCACCGCGACTTTGATTCCCGCGCGGCGAATTGCGGCGAAGGCTTCGTGAGCGTGGGGGTCGGACAATCTCCACGCAGAGTTCGTCGCATAGTAGCCATGCAACTCCTCCGTGTAGCTGGGATTAGAGCAACCGGTTGACTCCGATATAACGTGATGCCAAAAGGGTAAAGCTTCCCCTTCGTATCGAAGCGCCCCCCGCCACGGTTTACTGTACGCGGTTTGGTATCGCCGCAGAATCTCCTCTGCTGATAACGAGACGCCGTATTTCTGGCCGACGGATTCGTACACCTTATGCTCCTGCTCCGATGTCTCGATAAGAGTGCCCATCGCGTCGACGAGCAGCGCGCGCGGCTGAAACGCCTTCGACTGCCGTTGACAGAGCCATTCCCTGGGCCACTGCGGCTGGTGCTGCCCGTCGAGCGCGCCGAGCTCGTACTGCTGCTGCTGCAGGTTACTCTCCTTAAAGAGCACCGACCAGCAAGGGATGGGAAGAGTCGGAGAACTTGCGCCGTCAGAATCAACAGGAAAACTCGTCGCTAGTTCCGGCGGCAGATGCAGATTAGCCCCGTCCTCGCCGCGTAGCCAGAAGCGCTGATGCGGATTAAATGCGTCCTCGTGAAACGGGAGCAACTCGGGAGGGTCGCCTATGCGAGGTTTAGGCGAGAGTGGCAGGAACGGCTGCGGTCGAATGGCGAACTCTTGTCCCGACGGGCTTATATCGGGAGGTGGACCTGCAGCGGGAGCTTGCGAACGGCGTCGTTTAGGTGTGATGCTGCTAGCTTGGACTTCAGTGTCGTTTGTACTAGGTATTGACGAGTGATTGTGCTGCTGGATGCGGGTTACGAGGGTGGAAGCGGAGCGAAGGACGTTAGTGGCGACAGCAGCCTGGGCTATTCGCGACGCGAGGAGCGGCAAAACTTTGTGAGCCACGACTCCAGCCATGGCTGATCGGGGAGTAGGTACTAAAGAAGTACTTTGTAAGCTGGCGATTGAATTAACTGAAAGGACGGGGAAAGGATGAGCACCAAAGCTGTTTTCCGTTGGCTCTTTCACGCGCGAAAAGGCAGGGAAGAGGATAAGACGGGCTTATGCTTCAGCAGGTTCTGAAAATGGCTGTTTTCCTGGAGAAAGGTGGACAAGATCGATGATGTTGTGAGCTTGCTGATCGATGGCTGTATGAATATCTCGGAGGCTGTTACTCTTGTCGCTGGTGTAGGAGGGGAAGGTTGAAGGAAAAGTCTGCGACAAATTTGTTCGTTGCTGGCGTTGGAAAATTGGGAGGTCTATTGTGCTGCGAACATTTCTTCAGAGAATGCGATGAACGAGATTTTGTGCGACATTTATTTTATCCAGGCGCGCCGCACTCCTTCCACGTGATGGAGCCAACCGAATCGCTCCGCATTGATCGGCTCATCCCCATCACCCAGAGAAGCTTTGCACACAAGATGGACGTCAGCGCCCGGGCGCGTCCTGCGCAAGCTTCACAAGGCGAGGCCCTGTCAGGATCCAGTCATCGTTTCATGGCCAGATGCATTTTGCGGTCAGCGTGGCCAATCGGTGTTCCGCAGTCCACGGTGGCTGCTTTGGCGAGTGAGAAAACTGACCAGTCAGCGGTTGAGGCATGTCGGCGCCCGTGTCAAATTGCCTTGCTGTCGTGGCAGCGGTGCGCCTGAAGCTGAGGGGAGAGGGAGCACCACCGCAAACGAAACGACGACCTGTGGTGTTTTCCAGCGATTGGCAACAGAAACGGATGCTTTTATGTAAGCCTCTCAGTTAAAAGCCGCACTCACATAATAGGGACTAATTCTTACCAAAAATTTGTTTCACACTCTACGTGTGAAGCAAAGCGTGATTGCACGCATGCCTGGAGTTTGTTGCTTTTCCCTCCTTGATCCAACGTCAGATTGATGCTGTCTGTTGATCCGGATTGGCACTGTCGGCAACAAGTTGAAGCATGCTTCCCAGCTCAGCGCGCGCGAACACAACGGCTGCACATGAGCCATCAAGCTGTCCGCCAAACGCACTGTTGTCGCTTCATTGGGGCGCGTCTTCGCACTGGTCCAGGGGGAACAAACAGACCAACACTGCGAGGTGAGGCACGGACCTACCACCAGTGCACCGCCCAGATGTGGCCGCTACCTTACGACATCTGAACCTGATTGGAGGCACGTGCCTGGCTGGGCATCACATTGTACTGTACAGGAGTGACGTGGTGACAGTGCACGTCTGCGACAGGAGGCTCAGGCACATTTCTGGGACCCACTCGAACTGAGTGGATGTGGTCACGTTATCCCAATCAGAAATGCATGTGATAAGATACACTGTATATTTGCAAAACATACGATACTACCATGTGGAGCATACATTTGTATTTAAACTCGCTCCATGATTAAGCGCTCATCGGATTCATATTTATTTATCAGCTTTTACAGGTTTTTAAATTCAGTTAACGTATACTTCTCATCCAATCATGTAGATGAGCTGAGTTGCTTATAAAATGGCGATACTGTTATACGTTAGATGCATAGTTTCATGTCAGAGCCATTTCTGGTGAAATGCTGGATCCATCTGCAGCGATGCTTTCCAGCCCACCACGTCAGTCCCCAGTCCATCTCCATCATCTGTGGCTGTCCATCTCCACTGTCCGTGTGGCACCAGCGAAGCATGACGTGCCCGAGTCACAAAACAGCCTCTAACATCCACATCACATGATGAGTGCCCCAGGAAGTGGGGACCTCGTCACAGACCTTCGGGATACTCGAACCGCATGTGCTTTCAACCCCACCAGCCATAAGGGGAACTTCCGTCATCCCCAGACTTCCGCCAAACCATGGCTCATGAATAAGGTTTTGCACAGAATAAACTGACGGCCAGCATTAGGTCTGGCGGCCACTCGCAGCTGTTCGGACGGAACGAACCAGCCGTATGACGTCACCTGTCGGTTTGTCATGCATTCTCCTGGCGCAACTCAATTCTAGCAGCTTTTCAGTTCAATCACACAGCAAAGGCCTGATTTCCCGTTGCGTTCCGTCTTGCGGTCTTGAATGAATAACAATTTCAGCGCCCGAATTGGGGGCAGGTCTCGTAGTTTCTTACACCTAGCCCGCAGTAATTTCACACCTGAAATTGGGCGTCAATATAATTTTTTGTTTCCACCCTGACCATTTCTGTGTGCGTAGACATTATTCCCTTGTTCCTACGGCCTAAGCGCGGCAGACTCCACGCGGACAAAAACTTTGAGCACTGCCAAAGCTGACGTCGGATTTCCTGACCCGAGAAACACTCAATCGAGAAGTAAACATTTCGTATAGAATTCCAACCTAAATTTGTTTTTCAAGGGTATCCGGATCTGGTCTTCAGGAGCTGCTTTCGGGGTGTGAATACCCTCTCGGCATCACCCCCTGCGAAAATAGTGGGTGTGAAAATACCGTAGGCGAAGTGTATTTTTCCCCCGAATCTGATTTTTTTGCGCACTGATGCGTGCGGGCAACGTCTTCCCTTCCGCCAGCATCCTCTCTTCATTTTCCACCTCCGTTCTCTCCTTCGCCTCAGTCTCACTTTTCTCGTCTCAGGCTAGAACAAGCCACACAGCTTAGATTATGAACTAGAACCACCAAACAAGCCTCACTGCACTAGAACTGCTTATGCATTCGTCGACTGTTTTGTAAAATATTGCATCTTGTGCGCCCCTTTCCCGTGTCTCCTCTCATCAACTGTTAGCCACCTCTTACCAGTTCCGTGACTTGGTTGACTCTGTTACTAGATTGCGAGGTACCAGCGCGCTGCAAACTTCCGTTTCGCTCAGTAAAAGCCGAGTTGAAGGCTGTTTCGTCTAAAGGCAGCTGCTCAGGATGCCGTCTTTCGTTGCGATAGAATCGTCCCTGGGAACCACGCGACCCGACATAGTAGTACCTTCTACCACTGGTAGTACCACTGGCCGCAATCACCAGTCCCTCTCATTCAAGCACGCGTGTTCCATCCGCCTTTCGTCGTCCCCCACTGCCAAACCCGCCGTTTTCTCGCCATCTCTGCGAAAATCCGTCGGTGACAGGCTCCGTTCTCCCCGCCGCTCGTCTTCTCCTTCCCATCTCCAACCAAGAGCGACAATAATCCTGCCATCAGACGGCGAATTTGTAACATTTTTAAGAGAAGAGAAGTCCTTCGGGGAGGCCTATGGTCCTAGTTTGCATGGGCCCGTTCATTCGACGACAAGGAATCATTCTTCTGCCCGGAAAAGTTTGACTCGCGCGCGGTTGAGCCAGCAAGTGCGTCCCACGGCAATCCAGCAGCCAATCGACGCCCGCCACGTGGCTGAGAATCAGTGGCCTGACGAGCAACTAGCACCCGCGATTCCGTGGTACGCGCGGCACCTCCTACTGCCGCATCATGCGGCGGAATCTGCGGAGCGCCACGCGGCGGAATTTGCGGTCAGGCAGCTTCCAGAAGGGGTGGAAGCAGAAAGGATTGAAGGTCTTGACGGGCAGCTGAACGGGCAGGAAACTGCGGGAAAAGCGCAGCAGCAGCATCATTGGCCGGACCTGTGGCAGCCTAGCCATGGCGAAGCGCACTTAGTAGACAGCAGCGGAAAGCGGTTGCTCGAGCCGCGCGCGTTATTAGTGGACGCGTTTGGTACATTGGTGGAAACGGCGGAGGAGGAAACTATGGTGTATGCCTCTATTGGAAGCAAGTTCGGCGTGGAGATTAGTCCCGAGGAGATCGGGAGGCGGTATGAAGCGGTGTACAGGAAGCCATGGCTGCAGTCTAAGCTGAGGTAAGCACGAGAATCATGTGCCTTCTTTTCGTCTACTGAGGTTAGCTTCTTTTTGTTTATTGAGTGCCGCGTTACAGGCCACAAAAAGTTTGTTACCTGTTAAGCATGGTTTACAGGAAGCCATGGTTGCATTCCAATCTTACGAAGCATAGACGTCGCAAACAGTTTCCCCTCGCTTGCTGCAGTCCACTGGCTGCTCCAATCCCTATATCGAGACAAGTCAAATCGCGTCAGCATCCCCCCTTCCCTCTTCTGAGTGGCTCTGTTGATTCGGGTATGAGGGCGGCGCTCTACACTACTGGGATCATATCATATCCGAATCCACCATCTGCTGCAAGTTGCAGCCTGCAACCCCAGCTACACTGGAATCAAACTCCCCCTTTTTGCCAACTGCGCCAAATAACTCTCAGGTACAAGGGAGTCGCTCTTCCTTTCTGCAACCCCAGCTACATCGAGATCCCTTCCCCCTCCCCCTTTGTCAAGTGTCCCAATTTTTCTCCATTCACCCCCCTGCGTGTTCACCCAGGTATGAAGGCGACGCGCTACCCTTCTGGCATCACATCATCTCAGAATCCACCGGCTGCAACAACCCCAGTTACACTGAGGAGTTACACGGTTACTACATCAAGAAGCACGCCTGGCGCTTCACCGACCCCAACGCCCGCGAGGCTTTCGCTGCGATCCGCCGCGCGGGGATCAAGATAGCGCTCGTGTCAAACTTTGACACGCGCCTAAGGGACCTGCTCCGTGTCTTAAACTGCTACGATTGGTTCGACGCGATCGCGGTTTCGGCTGAGGTGGAGGCGGAGAAGCCGAGCCGGGAGATTTTCCACGCGGCGTGTGACATGCTGGGGGTGCTGCCGCATGAGGCTGTGCATGTGGGGGATAGCAAGAATAAGGACGTTGCTGGGGCGAAGAGGGCGGGGTGTGGCGCGGCGTGGCTCTGGAACGAAGACGTGCATTCCTTTACCGAGGTGAGAAGGAGGGTATGGGCCGATGGTGTTAGAACAAGATGGGTGCATTCCTTTACCGAGGTGCAGCGGGGTGGCTTTGGAGCGAAGATGTGCATTCCTTTACAGAGGTGAGAGGGAGGGGTGGTGAGAGAGCAAGGGCTGGAATAGCAGCAACATGGGGGAGAAATGGGTTTTTCCCGAGGTGAGGGGGTGGGGCCGGATGGTGAACGGATGCGAGAGGAAATTGCACCACCATGGGTTTGGAATCAAAAAACACGAGTCTATCTGAGTGGAGGGTGGGGTGTTGGGATATGCCCGTCAGTTTGATTCGTTGGTGTCTCCGACATATCTTTCCCGGCCTTGGTTCTGGAATGAGGATGCACAGCACACTCTTCCAATGATGTCTGGGGATGGAGTGATGGCAGCATGAGGTCGGTAGCAGGTTGTTGAGATCATTCTGATGGGAATATATTTTTCACGGCTGCTATCTCTCCACCGTCCTCTTCCTCCCTCTTTACCCCCGTTTGCACTTTCTCTCCCATAGTACTAATTCGTGCTTGTGGTATCCCTAATCGACAATACCCTTAATTGTTTGTGTTTGTGGTTCTCACCATTGCCTTGTTTGCAGGTGGCACAACGGCTAGGAATCTCAGTTCAGGCATCACCACCTGAGAGTGAGTTACTTCGCATTCTCTGAGGAGCATGGTTTTCATAGGAACAAATAGTCAAAGCACATGCATGGGTTTTCTGAGCCCACTAGAATGTTTTGGGGGTGTAGCGATCATTGTATATAGGGGGAGCTGTCGTGCACTAGGATTGGACATATGGATGGTTTGTGGTGTGTACTTTTTGGGTTGTGCATGTGATAGTTTTTGTTGTGTACACTTTGGTTTGTGTATATAATTAGATGCAGATCCAGTCAAAATGACTTTTCTTCACATGAAAACAAATAATATAGGTAGGCTGAGCAATGGGGTGGTGTGAGAACATAGAGGCTATGCACATGGGAATGGTGGTACCTATCAATCACCAAACACAGCAATAATCGTGTGAGCATGTCTACCTTTTTGGAATGTAACGAGTTATCTTATATCATCCGCATGGCGTGGCAACCTGTATGCCGACCGACGTTCGTCGCCAATTAGCCAAGCAGCCGGCCGGCATTATCGTGCGAGCCCGAGCAGAGAAACGCGGATTTCGTGTTTTGCCGCGGATCCTGCGCGACTCCCTCCATCCTTCGTGCCCATTTTCCGTGGCGCCCAATGTTGATTTGAGAAATGTGGGCCGAGCCGCATCCGCGCTCCGCAACCAAATTTCATCGTAACAAATTCCTGAGGGCAGGACATAGAGCACCCACCCACCCACATTGCCAGCGAGATGTACCTGATGGCTGTGCGTGTGTCTCTCCTGCCATCGTGACTCATGAGTGACTCGTGAGTGACTCGTGACGTGAGCCGTGAGGTCGTGCATGGTGAGGTGACAGCCAAGGTATCTAGCCAGCAAATAGTCAACCCACCGCTACAGCATTCTTTCTTGACTGGAATTATGGCACGTTTCCCGTGCTATGCGCAGTCAAAGCTGCGTAGTTACTCGGAAGCTGACCTGTCGTTAGGGTTAATTCGCTAGCTGTCATCGATGGCTCCCATCCTCCTGACGCGAACATCAACTTAGTGGTAAGCTACGCTTACTCACGTATCGTGCCGCTACTACTAGATGATTGCAGTCACAGCGAGATATTGTAATGCTATCGCCGGGAGCTTATTCGGGAAGGCGTTCGCGTTGAACGCAACATATGACACTGACTCACAATAGCTACGCAACGCCGTATACCACGGACCTGCTACTAACGCAACGCAGTGTACCACGGACCTGCTAACGCACCATATGACACTGACTCACAATATATGATGTATTAACGGGTCTGATCTAGCATCCGAATCGAACAGGACCACGCTGTACCCGCCCAAAGAGTATTTGAACCGAGGAGAAAGGTCGGAGTTAGGGGCATATCGTAAGTAGGGAAAGGGACAGCAGCGGCAGCAGCAGCAGCAGCGACAGGGGGAAGAGGAAGCGCTATCGGCCGCTCCGTCTACTTCTGACCCTTGAACGGAATAGATCAGCAAACGACAAGAGAAAGCACGATGCTGACTCAGCTGCCACGTCAGCATGTAGAGAGCTGCCGCGGTGGAGACGGTTCTAGAAAAGCTCCGTCTTCTACAGGTCGCCCGATTCTCCATCGGCGTTGGAGTCCGTTTACGTTTCCGTCACGACCCCTCAGTCACCGTCAAAGTCCGTTAACTTTTCCGTCAAGTGCCATCGTTCTCCTGTCACTCTTGCTTCTCCACGACCTCTCTCCCCGTGCCTACCGCCAACCCTGCCGCTCTTTCTTCGTCGCCGCCGCCTCACAAGCCAGCGAAAATAACGACGGACCGGTGGTAACATTTTCGCTAGCATTTTCGCAATCATTGTCACGCGTCACAGTTACGGGGGAACGACCTAGCCGGATCGGAACTAGCGGCGAGGCGGATGGGGGAAATACCGAGACGTCTCGAATCACAGTTGCGGGAGCCTGGCCGGCGGACTCGGGGCAGGCGCATGTTAGTCCGCCGCCTGGGGGAAAAATGCCAGGCGCGGGGGTCACCCCCCCTGCGCGGAAGACTCCGCTTACGCCGACGAGTCCCTTCGCGCGGAAGAGTCCGCCTGCGGCGGGGAAAACAGTTCCCACTCCCGCGAGAGACGCAAGGGCGGCAACGGGCGGAAAGTCGGCGCGACAAGGCTCCGCCCCGAATAAGACAAGGGATGGCGACGCAGCAGCAGCTAACTCGAAGCGCGCCGCCGCCGGCGCGAGAAGGCGGTCGCCGCCGGATGCTGCTAGGAGAGCTTCGAGTCCAAGTCCTTCGAGTAACGGCCTGAGACCTCCGAGCAATAGGAGTCTAGTTTTGAGGCCTAAGACTAACGGCCTAAGACCTCCGAGCAGCAGTGGCCCGAGCAGTCGAAGGAACAGCAGCGGCCCAAGCAGTAGGAGGAACGGCGCCGTGTCTGGGAGCCCTGGTGCTAGTAGGAGCAGCAGCGGCCTAAGACCTTCAAACAGCAGCGGCCCGAGGAGCCAGAGGAGCAGCAGCCCTTCTGGGAGCGCCGGTGCTAGTAGGAGCAGCGGGGGCTCGAGACGTTCTAACGGCGGCAGCGGCTCGAGCAAGGATAGGACGGGCAGACGCACCGCGACGGGGGCTCGACCCGTGCCGCGCGTGGTTCCGCCGCCCATTCAGTTCGTGCGGCTGACGACAGCAAACAACGCGACGTGCCTGGACGGCAGGTGAGTGGCTGGTGGGCGGCAGAGTGGATGTCTGGTGGGCGGCAAAGTGGGCGGCTGGGTGGATGGCATACTGTATGGTTGGACGGAGAGTGAATAGCTGGTGGGCGGCAGAGTGGGTGGCTGGATAGCAGCGGCATTTTAGTGACTCACTTTGAAGCGATGGTTAAGTTACCTAGATTTATGATTGTACCACCCTCCTCCTCCCTTCCGTCCTCCCCCTTCCTCCTTCCGTCCTCCCCCGTCCTCCTTCCGTCCTCCCCCTTCCTCCTTCCGTCCTCCCCCTTCTCCCGGCCTCCCCCTTCTTCCGGCCTCCCCCTTCTTCCTTCCGTCCTCCCCCTTCCTCCTTCCGTCCTCCCCCTTCCTCCTTCCGTCCTCCCCCTTCCTCCTTCCGTCCTCCCCCTTCCTCCTTCCGTCCTCCCCCTTCCTCCTTCCGTCCTCCCCCTTCCTCCTTCCGTCCTCCCCCTTCCTCCTTCCGTCCTCCCCCTTCCTCCTTCCGTCCTCCCCCTTCCTCCTTCCGTCCTCCCCCTTCCTCCTTCCGTCCTCCCCCTTCCTCCTTCCGTCCTCCCCCTCCTCCTTCCGTCCTCCCCCTTCCTCCTTCCGTCCTCCCCCTTCCTCCTTCCGTCCTCCCCCTTCCTCCTTCCGTCCTCCCCCTTCCTCCTTCCGTCCTCCCCCTTCCTCCTTCCGTCCTCCCCCTTCCTCCTTCCGTCCTCCCCCTTCCTCCTTCCGGCCTCCCCCTTCCTCCTTCCGTCCTCCCCTTCCTCCTTCCGTCCTCCCCCTTCCTCCTTCCGGCCTCCCCCTTCCTCCTTCCGTTCCCCCCATCTCCTCTGTAATCCTCTCCCTGCCCATACCTCCCGCCCCTCACTCTTGAGTCGACTCAAAAGCATACCTCCCGCCCCTCACTCCCCTTCACCTCCCGCCTCTCTCGCCCCCTCACTACTCGCCTCCCTCTCCCCCTCACAACTCGCCTCTCTCGCCCCCTCACTACTCGCCTCCCTCTCCCCTTCACTACTCGCCTCTCTCGCCCCCTCACTACTCGCCTCCCTCTCTCCCTTACTACTCGCCTCTCTCGCCCCCTCACTACTCGCCTCTCTCGCCCCCTCACTACTCGCCTCCCTCTCTCCCTCACTACTCGCCTCTCTCGCCCCCTCACTACTCGCCTCCCTCTCTCCCTCACTACTTGCCTCTCTCGCCCCCTCACTACTCGCCTCTCTCGCCCCCTCACTACTCTCCTCTCTCGCCCCCTCACTACTCGCCTCCCTCTCTCCCTCACTACTCCCCTCTCTCGCCCCCTCACTACTCGCCTCTCTCGCCCCCTCACTACTCGCCTCCCTCTCTCCCTCACTACTCACCTCTCTCGCCCCCTCACTACTCGCCTCCCTCTCTCCCTTACTACTCGCCTCTCTCGCCCCCTCACTACTCGCCTCTCTCGCCCCCTCACTACTCGCCTCCCTCTCTCCCTCACTACTCGCCTCTCTCGCCCCCTCACTACTCGCCTCCCTCTCTCCCTCACTACTTGCCTCTCTCGCCCCCTCACTACTCGCCTCTCTCGCCCCCTCACTACTCGCCTCTCTCGCCCCCTCACTACTCGCCTCTCTCGCCCCCTCACTACTCGCCTCCCTCTCTCCCTCACTACTCGCCTCTCTCGCCCCCTCACTACTCGCCTCTCTCGCCCCCTCACTACTCGCCTCTCTCGCCCCCTCACTACTCGCCTCTCTCGCCCCCTCACTACTCGCCTCTCTCGCCCCCTCACTACTCGCCTCTCTCGCCCCCTCACTACTCGCCTCTCTCGCCCCCTCACTACTCGCCTCTCTCGCCCCCTCACTACTCGCCTCTCTCGCCCCCTCACTACTCGCCTCTCTCGCCCCCTCACTACTCGCCTCTCTCGCCCCCTCACTACTCGCCTCTCTCGCCCCTCACTACTCGCCTCTCTCGCCCCCTCACTACTCGCCTCCCTCTCTCCCTCACTACTCGCCTCTCTCGCCCCCTCACTACTCGCGCCTCTCGCCCCCTCACTACTCGCCTCCCTCTCTCCCTCACTACTTGCCTCTCTCGCCCCCTCACTACTCGCCTCTCTCGCCCCCTCACTACTCGCCTCCCTCTCTCCCTCACTACTTGCCTCTCTCGCCCCCTCACTACTCGCCTCTCTCGCCCCCTCACTACTCGCCTCTCTCGCCCCCTCACTACTCGCCTCTCTCGCCCCCTCACTACTCGCCTCTCTCGCCCCCTCACTACTCGCCTCTCTCGCCCCCTCACTACTCGCCTCTCTCGCCCCCTCACTACTCGCCTCCCTCTCTCCCTCACTACTCGCCTCTCTCGCCCCCTCACTACTCGCGCCTCTCGCCCCCTCACTACTCGCCTCCCTCTCTCCCTCACTACTTGCCTCTCTCGCCCCCTCACTACTCGCCTCTCTCGCCCCCTCACTACTCGCCTCCCTCTCTCCCTCACTACTTGCCTCTCTCGCCCCCTCACTACTCGCCTCTCTCGCCCCCTCACTACTCGCCTCTCTCGCCCCCTCACTACTTGCCTCTCTCGCCCCCTCACTACTCGCCTCTCTCGCCCCCTCACTACTCGCCTCTCTCGCCCCCTCACTACTCGCCTCTCTCGCC